TAAAAGTATAGGTTTTTTTTGTTTGTTTGTTTTTTTAATCAGAAAAGCTCCTGCTGCAGCACATAGGCAGCAAGTGTTTTTCCTGTCTGCTTCTGCTCTCTGGGACATATTGGTGCTCCTTTCTGGTGGGATTTTTCCTGGTAGACAGATGGTGACGTTAGTGACAGTCACCCTCCAAGCTCTGAGAAGGGTCTCTGATGATGTTGGGGACTCTGATGTCACAAGGAGAGACCTGTGTAAGGTCAGTAAAGTGAAGGATGGTCTTATCAGCAGCCATGTCAGATGTGGCTGTCCTTGAGGGGAGGGAAAGGATATCGAAGCCTCCCACAGCCTGGCTGTTTTCAAATTTCTTTTTTTTTTTTTTAAAAAAAGATGATCGGTAAGGGGGATCTTAACCCTTGGCTTGGTGTTGTCAGCACCACGCTCACCCAGTGAGCAAACCGGCCATCCCTATATAGGATCCGAACCCGTGGCCTTGGTGTTGTCAGCACCGCACTCTCCCGAGTGAGCCATGGGGCCGACCCCTGTTTTCAAATTTCTATCTCTTTCCTCTCCTCCTCCCTCCTCTTCCCACCCCCAATTTATAGACAAGGTGGTTTAGGGCTTTATTATTATTTTTATTTTAGGAGCATTCATTTTAAGGTGTGGATCATTTCTGGGAAATGCACTCTCTCTCCCTCATTTCTGAAGGAGAGCCTTGCTGGGTAAAGAATTCTTGGCTGGCAATTTTTTCCTTTAGTACTTTGAATATATCATCCACTTTCTTCTGGCCTGTAGGGTTTCAGTTGAGAAGTCTGCCGTTAGTCTGATGGGGGGTTCCCTTATAGGTGACTTGGCGCTTTTCTCTTGCTGCTTTTAGAATTCTCAAGGTGTGGATCGTTTCTGACTTGGCGAACTCTCAGCTCCTTTTGTGGCAACACCTGGCCAAGGAGGGAATATCAGAAGGGATTCTGATGTTCTGAGTAGGACGAAATTCAGCCTTTCTGGCCAGATCTTCTGCTTACTTCACCACCACTTCTCAGAAATCAGAGGCTTTGTATGTGAAAAGTAAAGGGTAAGCTGATTTCTGGGGAAGGGGCAGGAGGGGGCATTTTTGGTTATGGTTTTCCTTTAGGGAAACTGAGTCACATTGAAAGTTAGCACAATGACTATGGTGTGTGTGAATGCATGTGTTAGGGAAGTTTTCCTTTCCTGAGATTTGAGTGTTTGTTTATTTTATTTTTTTTAAAAGATGACCGGTAAGGAGATCTTAACCCTTGACTTGGTGTTGTCAGCACCACACTCTCCAAAGTGAGCGAACCGGCCATCCCTATATAGGGATCCGAACCCGTGGCCTTGGTGTTATCAGCACCACACTCTCCCGGGTGAGCCATGGGCCAGCCCAAGGAGTTGAGTGTTTAGAATGAAGTACTTGAGTAGATCCATAGGTTATACTTTTCTATTATGAGATAAAAGTGCGCTGATAGAATTTAGGTTCTGGTGTGTTTGGTTCAAAGTGTACATTTGCCTCAGACTTTGAGCTGTGGGATGCTCCACGCTCCCGTGATTCAAGGAAAAGGAAGTGGTTTTTACCCCTGACACACACATGCACAGATAGAACAGAGGCTGAGGAAGTAACCCATCACATTCCCAGGATAAAAGGCGGGCCCACTCCCTTCCCTGTGCTCACATCCGTGGGGCTGTGGGTGTGGACGCCTGATCTCCTCTGCTCTAAGGCTGTACTTAATGTTCACTTTAACATTTGTTCCTCTATGTATAAATTGAGTGGGTTTGAGGTCACAGAGTGTTACTGGCCCCCCGCTCCTTTGATGGGTGGTTCTGAGAGAGAACTCTCCAGCCTTCTCTGATGTTGATGCTTCTCCCCTTGGTGTCAGTCACAATCCAGTCTGGCAATTTGAGGAGTAACCAAAGTCATCACCAATTCCCATTGCTGAGCATCCAGCTCCCCATTACCCTGGACTCCTCTGGCTCCCCAGTAGGGAGTTTGATATCTTTTCAGGGCTCTTGACTCCCAGTGTGGCTGGTATTGTAGAAGGGACGGCATCCTTGAAATTAGGGCAAACAGTCTACATGGCCAGGACTTGGGGCCTCAGATTACTTCTTCCTCCTGCTCCATCCTCTAGAAGTATGGCAGTTTAAAAAAATTAAAAACTTCACCTGTCAGTTAAAGTAAGGAGATCTAATAGATAAGGGAAGAGGGTACTTTCAGCCACTCCTTTGCTCCCCAGAAGCCCCTCATTCAGAACATACTGGATTATCCACTTCTGACTGCTTTTGCAGTTAGACTCAAATGACGAATGCCTTCTAGCTGGTTCATTCATTCATTGTTTCCTTTCAGTTTTTAAGAGGCACCCCTGTCACATGAGCTTCTGGAATGATCCGTTTCCACCAGAAAGGTCACTCACCCTGAGTTTTAGTAAGGCCTTGACACTAGCCCCAAGGAGCTAAGGGTGCCAGGCTAAGAAGAAGATTGAAGGGCCACAAAGAGAATTCTTTTCTGGACTTCTGAGAGGTGATTCATGCTTTAAGATAAAATGTACTTCCTGGGGGCTCCATGGTTTCACTGCTTGCACAGTCAGTGCAGGGACAGGCCCTGGTGCAGCAAAAAGCCAACATTGCTGACTATAATTGCCATTCTTTGGAGCACTGACAGGGACCTGTTCTTAGCCTACTGGCAACCCTCATCTCCTTTTTCATGGCTGTCCTTGGCCAGACCCCATTTAAGTCCCTAGTCCGTAGGATCTCAATCCCTCTTGTTCCTAATCAGAAAAGCCTTTCCAAAGCCAGGAATAAGGCAGCCAGGGCATTGGTCTTACTTTTATCTACCTTCTTAAAATAAATGTGGATAAGAAGTACAGTCACCACCAGGCAACACAAGCAGCAGTTCCAGGTTTTTGTCTTTTATTGTTTTTTTGCTTGCCATAGGCAAAGAGATGACCTTCTTATACTGACCTGTAGAGGCTTTTCATATAGCCTGCTCAGTTTCTAGCATATGGTGAGTGCTTTTTAAATCACCAGATGTGGTACTTGGATGTGATCAGATACCCAGAAGTCTAGGTAATTGGGCAATAATGTCATTTGGGTGAGAGCTGATGATTAGCAAGGGCTTCAGGAATCAGGAATTCTGGGATCCCTTCTTGACTCACTCACTTATGTGACCTTGGTCAACCCATTTCAGCCCTCTGAGACTTAACTCCACAAATGGAGCTTCAGCTGGCTTCAGTGATCACAGCAATAGTAACGACAGCCTCCATTTATTGAATGCTTACTATATGCTAGGCATTGGGCTAAGCACTTTATATATGTTCTTTTCTTACAGCAATGAGATAACTACTATTAATTATCCCTTTTGCAGATGGAAAAACTGAGGCTCTGCAAGATAAAGCAATTGCACATATCATATAGCTAGAAGTGTTCAAGCTGGGATTTGAGCTGAGATCTGTCTGCTTCTATTGTGTTCTATAGCCTTGGATTGGGTGATGGAACAAATGTTGGGGAGAGAGTAAAAGTGGAGATAGTATTAATTAATATATAAGAAGGAGAGTTGATATGGATTCAACACAGCTAGTTAAAAGGAGCTGGAAGTCCAGATACTTATTTGAAAAAAACACCCCAATGAATGTTTGGGAAGGAGAGAGAGGTCTGTACCCTGCAGTGGGGAAGTAGACCAGATGGCCTGGGAGTTACTATAAGGGGAACAGGCTTTCTGTTTGGCATAGGAGTGTATCTCATTATCCCCATTTCATTTTGATGCCAAAATTTTCCTCTTGCTTAACAGACTCTTTGAACAACATTTTTTCTTTCCATTACCCTGTTGTCACTAGTCATGCAGCTTATCTATGCAGATTCTTGACTCTAGTCCTTATCCTCCAGCCTTGTTTCTGTGCCTTCCCTGCCCATCTTTATAATTCAGCAGTGGAGTCCTGACTATGGCTCTGGGATCTCAGGTACACTCTGCAAAGTACAGCAAGCGTTAGACTATCCTGTTCTTCTGAGCAAGTATTTATGGTTGCTGATTACTGCATTCAAAGGTGACCAGCTAGTTCATTGAGATCCATTCTTATTTTTTCCAGGCAAGTTAACTCTAAGCCTCTTCTACCATTTTGAGGTATTCGTAGAAGAGGAATGAGGGTTGAGGGGGTGTCCTGGGGGAGGGGAGCTGGCCCCTCTTTGAGAATTTGCATGATGGTGTATAATGGAGCAGTGTACTGGGGTCAGGACATGTGGGTTCTCAGCTCACTGACTCTGGGCATATGACATGAGTTCTTTGGCCTTTAGTTTCCTTATTGACAACATAACAATGTTGGACGAGATATTCTCTGTCATCTCTTCCAGTAATAATGCTAGATGATCCAGCAGACTCTGGATGATCCTGGCCTTTCTCAGAGAACAACTCCCCTAGCCTGCAACTGTAGGAAGTCAGAGGTAAAGCTGAAGGAGAAAGACACCAGACTGGAAGTTAAAGGACAAAGTTAGAGCTGGAGTTAATCCCTTCTTGTGAAGGGGGACTGCATCCCGTCAGTCCCTCCTGCGACTGTTCCAACAGGACAGCTGAGAGGTGGCCTCTGTGCCACCCCGTGCTTGCCATTTCCAACACCGTGGGGAGCACCCCTCGTATCTCATCTTTAAACTTCAACTTCATCTCCCCCCTTCATCCTCCAATAGTCCCTGAGAGGAGAAGCCCCCAAGTGACGGCAGCAATGAGGCTGGGCATTTGGCATGTGTGTCATATTCTGCACTTGGATTCAGCAGGCGACAGGGCCTGGGTCAGCTCAGGACTCCGACCCCAGCCCCGACCTTCCACAGCGCAGCTCTCCAGGACTTGAGGACTTGGGTCAGTGCTTTGGGGTTGACTCGGTGTTAGTGAGAACGTGCCTCCTCTGCTGCCCTAACTCTGTCTGAAAGGGTGAGACAAACCGTAAACTCAGCTCGGGAACCCAGGGGTCATGGCTTCTCTGTTCATGGAACTGGGCCACCTTGAGTTCTCTTTGAACAAAGCCATTTGTCTAAGGATCCTTGGCTTGTCTCACTCGTTGGTGCGTCTTCTATTTTCATTTCATCATATTCAAGGTTGAGGAGCAAGTGAGTATCCACTGAACCCACCAAACCAATCTTTTCTGTCCCTGCCAGTCTTACTTTTCCCGTTAACTCCTTGTTGCCCAATACTAATTATTTCTAATGGTGTTTACCATATCACTGGGGGTATGAGAGACAGTTTTAGTTGGTACAGGGACAGACTTTCATTTTAATAGCTACGTTTCTAACAAGTATAAAGAAGCATGACTCATTGGGATGTATTCATAAAGCAACTTAATTTTGTCTTCCAGCATCCCTTTACATTTATTTAGTGGGATTAATTCTTTTTTTTTTTTTTTATAAGATGACCAGTAAGGGGACCTTAACCCTTGACTTGGTGTTGTCAGCACCATGCTTTCCCAACTGAGCCAACCGGCCATCTCTATATGGGATCCGAACCCATGGCCCTGGTGTTATCAGCACCACACTCTCCCAAGTGAGCCATGGGCTGGCCCCAGTGGGATTAATTCTTTCCCTGCTCTGGAATAGAGTCAGGCCCCAAAACTTTTCAGGTCATTCATAGGCAGTAGGAGGAGGTCCTGTGGTCACTTTAAGTCACAAACATAGCCTCAGTTCACTACTTAACACATCCACTCCTTTGTCACTGGACCGGAGGGGCAGGGAAGTGCTCCTGGTCAGCACTGTTGTCTGCTGGCTGCCAGCTTCCCGGGCATGGCAGGTATTTAATGCCGATTCTCCCTCTTGTGGCCGTGTTCATGGGTTTCTCAGAGACCCCTCCCTGCCAATTGCTGGGATGTCTCACTTCTTGTTATCTTGAAAAGAGCAAATTATCCTCTATTCTAGGCCATTGCTCCTTCCTTAGACCCTAAAATCTAGTGATTCACCTCCATCCTCTTTTGGGTAAGGTTTTTCAATCTGTCCAAGTGGCGCTCTTGGACAGGACCTGCTCTGACCTCATGCCATCCCCCTCTTGCTTATGGCCCACATTCGTCCAAGGGAAAAGTTACACATCTTTTAGTATAGTGAACCTGGGAATGCAGGCCACCCCCCAGCTCGGCAGTCTCCAGTGGCCCCTCCAACAGCAGATGGCCAGCCTGGGTCTCACCCTTTGGATGTCTCAGGGGGTGGTCAGATGCCAGTCCACCCTGTCCTTCCAGTTACAGGGGACACACATCAAGTTTCCTGAGTGGTCCTGTTGAAGCCTCTCTCACCAGCTTGACATGAGGACAAATACTCTATAGGGGTACGGTGAGATCACAGCACACCGACAGCAATCCCAGAGTTCCTCCTCAAAGATTCTCTTCCAATCTCTCCATTCTGACCCTTCATACCCCCAGTGTGAGGGAGGGATTTTGCATACCTCTTTTGAAAATGTGCGTCCTTGTCTGGTGTCACACTTGGGGGCATTATACCTGTTGTATATATCAGTGCCTTAGTTAAGACTTTTTTTTTTTAAAGGTGACTGGTAAGGGGATCTTAACCCTTGACTTGGTATCGTCAGCACCATGCTCTTCCAAGTGAGCCACGGGCCGGCCCTTAGTTAAGACTTCTGGTTAACATCTTATTATATGTATATCATCAAAATCATAACTGTCACAATAAGCCCACGATTTCCTGGATATTATTACTTAGGATAAGGCTACACTACATATTTAAGTAAAAAACTGACAAATAAGAAGGTTAATGACAACAACTAACATTTATTTTGAGTACTTAGAGTACCAGGTATTGTTTTTAGTACAGTAAACACTCTCATTTAATCCTCACAAGGGAGTTACTTGTGTTATCTCTATTTTACGAGTGAGTAAACTGAGTCAAAGGGAGGTCAAACAGCTTGTTCACGGTCACATAGTTGGCATCAGAGGCAGGGTTTGAATGGAAGGAACTGACCCAGAGTGTTTACTTTTAAACCACTACACTCTGTTGCTTCTGGTGGCAGGCAGTTGTACCAAGTCATGAAGGTGGCACACGGATAATTGGGAAATGACTGCCTTAGGGGGTAATTGTAGGCTCATTGCTCTGGCATTCATGCTGTCCATGCATTGCCTTTACCTGCTTTTCCAAACATATCCACCTCTGAACTCCTTCCTTGCCCTTTACCAGAGCCTCCTCTAGCTGCACGGCTAACCTGCCATGCAAATGCCCATCCCACGTCATATTGTTCCCCTACCTGGGGGCCCTCACCTGCCTTGCTGCCCACCCAAATCAGAGTCCTTTTTGAAGTTAGAACCTATCTCTGCTGCAGAGGTGTATTTGACTAAAACCACTTCTGCTGGGGTCTTTTAACTCCTCTTGTAATTTCCTCACAAAGTTGCAACAATTAGTGCATTTCTGCAATGAGCAGTGAACAGCAGTCAGCAAACAAATCTTGACCTCTCAGAGCCACCAACAGCCTTTTGCTGACTTAGGCAAGGCCCTTGACCTCTCTGAACCTTTGTTTCATCACGTTTAAAGTCTGGGTGTGGATTAGATCCTTTCAATTTTCAATATTCTTATGATTTTATGTTTACCCTATTGTCCCAACTAACTTTTAAGCTCCTGAGGGCTGGAACTTTGTCTTGTGTATCTTAGCACATCCCAGGACTCTTTGCACAAGGGTTTACACACAGAAAGTATTTAATAATAGTTGGGGCCAGCCCGTGGCTCACTTGGGAGAGCGTGGTGCTGACAATACCAAGTCAAGGGTTAAGATCCCCTTACCAGTCATCTTTTAAAAAAAAAAAAAAAAAAAAAAATATATATATATATATATATATATATTATTTGGTTGGCTGGTGGGAAATACAGCAATATGTCTGCTCTGAACTTGACCATCTTTTAGAAATCACCTTCTCCTGGACAGTCACCAGCAAGGACTCTGTGGTTCTTCTCTTTTCAGCATAAGTTTATAACAAAAGTTTTGGGTCCAATCTGCTGTCTTTTTCCTTTATGAGACCTAATGTAATGTTCTTAAGGCCCACAGTCCTTTATCTGCAAATTCAAATCCAAAAAGTTCTAAAACTGAAGTTTTTCTTTAACTGAAGTGATAACAAAACCTGACCTGGACTAATGGGAGGCCTTTGCTGGTCTATTGACATCACAGAGTGTGAATATTCATAGATGTCACCAATGTGTTTGATTAGGGGGTGCTGCCCAGACCTTATGTGTCTACATTATCTCTTTAAAAATCTAAAAAATACTGAATTTTAAGGGTTTTGGATAAGGGATTGTGGTGCATTATGACGTTTCTCAACAGAGGTACTATTGGCACAGGGGGTGGGACAGGTCTTTGGACTCTTCAGACATCACAGAACCTTGCATAGGATCCTGTCTCATTGGCCTCAACCTAATCCCAGCCCTGGTTGTGATATAACTATAACCGTTGGCCATGATTTACCAATTTGATATTTAAATATTGCATTAAAATATTATTTATCATGATTAATAAGTTTTTGTCATCCCCTTACATTTCGTGACTCAGGCCAGTGCCTCTCTTGCCTCATCCTAGTTCTGGCCTGTGGATCAGTCCCTGCATGACTCCTAAGCCAAGGCATTTCCTCTTCCCACAGCCATGGCTCTGGGATGAACAGGTGCGGCCTCAGGGAGGGGGGTACCTGCTAGAGGTTTGCATTTCCGGCCCTGTTGCACTCTTGGCAGGTTAGTTCATGCACTGAGGTTTGTAGACAGGTGCCTGGCGGCATTTCTTATATCTGGAGCCTTGTTGCTCTACTTGCATCTGGGAAGGGATGCAACTACTCATTTAAGAATCAGCTTGTTCTTGAAACCCTACAGTTTCTTTGACTGGACATTGAGAAAATTTTAAATATACAAATGCTCATGGAAAAACATGAAAACAATACAGAAATGCACAGTGATGGAATCTAGAGTGTCCTATTGTATTTTATTCAGTTTTTTCTGATGAGGAAACTGTGGGGGGCCATGACTCAGGGTTGCAGGTGTCAATGGAACAGCCAGGCTAGGGAAGCCCTGCTGCTGGACCTTCCACCAGCCAGGAGCCCACTCCCTTCCTTTCTCCCCAGCCCCCGGCTGTCCTCCGGTTATGGAGGACACGCGAATCAGCTATCCCTTCTTGACAGGAGGGCACATCTTTTAAAAATTTTTACCCTTTGTCCCTGTTTAGCAGCGATGGCCACACCTGAGGGAATTTAGGCTGCCTTCCCTCCACTATTAAATAACCAGCCTCTCTCAGAGTCTGAGCCTTCGATATTTCTGGCCCTGCCTTTTTTTTTTTTTAAAGATGACCGGTAAGGGGATCTTAACCCTTGACTGGGTGTTGTCAGCACCACGCTCAGCCAGTGAGCAAACCAGCCATCCCTATGTGGGATCCGAACCCGGGGCCTTGGTGTTATCAGCACCGCACTCTCCCGAGTGAGCCATGGGCCGGCCCTGCCTTTTTAACCTATTGGAGGTCCTCTGGGATCATCACTTCCCTCACGATGTCGCATTTTCCGTAAATAGGCTTGAGCACCCTTACTTGCATATACTCACCTTCTCATCCAGCAAGGAAGACAGTCGACAAGCCATGCCCGGCACCTGTTTCTCTGACTTCCTCTAACACACAATCCCCTCCAGATGTTGAACCATCTGTCACATCCTTGGCCCCTGCAGATGACTGTGGTCTTCTACCTATTGTCACTACACTGAAAAATGCTGAGAAATAGTATAATTTGAATTAATCAGGGAAATGAAATTTCCCAAATGTGTCCAACTGAATAGTTTTCTTAAGCCCTGTAGACTGACCACATTGTCTGTGTACCCATCATTTAGGAGCTTTGAGTCAATATCAGTAAGGGACCATTGACTGTATTCTGTGGGACTGATCACTTGACCCACCCTAATTTCGCTCACCTCTTTATGCCCTTGGCATTGTAGTTTCTGGGGCACACGATCCGGAATAGTATGTCCCTTTTATTTAGAAATATTTGTAATGTCTTCTAATTACTATGAATAAAATTCGTAGATAATATGACCTACCTATGTATATATTTTTAAAAGTCAATATAATGCCTCCACTGTAATCTAAAAGAAGAAGGAAAAGTTAGTTA